GGAAACTTATACCCAAACCACCTGATTTTGGAAGTATTTTTATGAACCTGCGGACTTTTAAAAACATTATCTGAAATGACGTCTTTAGTGAAAAAAGATCAATTGGAATGACGTTTTTAATTTAAAGACGTTACTCCAACTGACGTATTAAAGCATTTTATGGTGGTCAATTGGACTGGAAAACATCGGCTTCACTAATGTCCATAAGTTGAATATGTTAGTCCAACTAACGTCGACAAGGAAAATGTTATTCGAACTGATGTTTCTTGTAAAATATTGTTTGTACTGTGGTTTTCATTTAACTCTGAAAATGTCTATACAATTGACGTTTTCTGAAGCGTTTATATTTAATTTTTCAAGTGCCAATATTTAATTTAATATTCAAACAAAACATTATTGTTTCCTACAAAGCGTGTAAATGTCCATTAGGTCAATAATGTGGTTGATATCGACAATAATATCTATTAAAAATATTTATATTAAAATAAAGCATATAAATATTGGTCAATAATGTCATTGATGTTGACAACAATATCTATTAAAAATATTTTTATTGCAACAATGCGTATAAATATTTCTATTAAAATGTCTTCAATACTAGTCATAATAATTGTATGAAAAAATTTAATTTATTCATAACAAAAAAAAATATTTATTGAATAACATGGCATAAAATACAATATGTCAATAATATGGTTGATGCTCAAAACAACATAAAGGATTACCAAGTACATGTAAATTTGATGGAATAAAAGTGTTTGATGCATCATCCTCTAAATCAAAAAAAATCAGAAAATTCTAGATCAGAAACAAGTAATGAATACTCTAAAATTTCAATGTCTACATATTAATGATTAAAATGTTCAATTTTTGCATACTCGATTGCATGCAAACAATCAAATTAACGCTGCATTTGTTCATTTTCACATTCAAGCTTTACTATAATCTCGTCATGATTGTTTCAATTTTGTAAATCGTAAATATCAGTCGAACGTGTCTTCGATACCACTAATCCATGTCAACCAAGGTTACAACGTTTATCATATAACTATTGTCATCTTAGTGTGAATTCAATATGAGTATCGGGAGGCAGATAGTCAGTCGTAGGCCCAACAATTATGTGTCAAACTTAATCGAATGAGTGATAAGGGTTGATGGGTTCATTGCGGAACTCACTTTTTCGTCCATATTACGTTACACCACTAAAACTTGTATAGAGTCCAATAGAATAAACTATGTTCAATGTAGTTGATCAGTCAATGGAGCGTAAACATTTTATTGGCTAAAAATGAACTATTTTGTTCCTTGCGTAAAGAAGAATTTTTAGTAATTTGGCTGGATTGTCTATTTTGATGCGCGCCTAGAGATTTTGTTTCTTATCATTTACACAATGATGAATGATGGTACATATAGGCATGATTTTATATTTTAAAATAACAATGATATGACATCACATTATAAAGTTAAGATATGAATTAATATTAATGAAACAATAAATTGATTTGACACTTCAAAAATTGTGATATGATAAAATACTTATAAAGTAATGACATGATGTGATAATAAAAAAAATTATGATACGACAAAACACTAAATAGATTGATAAAACTAATGAGATTATTTTTTTTTCATTTTCATTTTGTCACCTTCTCTCAATGTTCGAAAGGATCAAACACTTCCTCTTCGGGCCCCACATTCATTTGTGGATTGTTGTAGGTCTCACTAATCCAATGAGACCCAATACATTTCAAGATCACTTGATCAAAATTGACAAATTTGAAACATATAGGAGATCTGAATCCAAACAATAAACCCTCTCATATTCCATGTCTATAGCTCTTGAAACATATGTATATGTACTTTTTATTTCCTCATACTTTTTTATTTATACCAAACCTAAAAAATTTAATTCTTCCAAAAAAAATTTCTTATAAAATAGAAATTGTATCGCTCCTAATTATGAGAAAACCTACAAATAACACTATGAAAAATTCAGGCACACTTGTTTGCAATTGCATGGAAGCATCCCTTAGCGAGAATGCTTCAACGGATGCTTCCATCCATAATCTAGTGATTTCAATTTTTTTTAATTATATTATAATTCATTATTCTCATTGAATTGATAGTGTCTGACCACATGGAATAGTGGACCATTATTACTTCAACGATAAAAATGAATTATGAAGGCCGATTAGATCTAAGCCCTCAATTTTAAAAACTATATTGTATCCCTTTATGTTTTTAAACACTTCATATCTCTCCTTACTTAAAAAAAAATATTATGTGTAGGATAATTTATTTAATGTATTCAAAAAATTAAATGACCTTTAATAATGAAATGGTGAATTCTAATTCCATAGTTGAGTGCTCCTTTTACGTCCAAAGACATTTGTTAGATCGAGCTTGGTGACTAGGGAAAAAAAAAAAAGTTGTTGCAATATCATGTTACAAAAATGACTTTATAATGAACAATTAATGCATTGGTTCACAATTAATTTTTACAGTATACCCCATGCAACTAATATTTAGTGTTCAATAGTTGTGATTGTGTCACGTCAAATGGTGTACGTGAAGTGATGCACAACATATGTGGGGCCTAAGCAAAAAATGTTAAATTAGGTTTCTATAAATAATTATTATAATAATATATATTAATAAATAATTTTAAAATAAATTAAATATTTTATATAATTTTTTTGTTTCTACTTTTTGAGATTTAAAAATATTAATTTAATTTTTAAATTCAAGTTTTATACATTAAAATTTTATTATCAAAAGTCGAATCCTTGACCAATTGTAATTAAGATAGTATCTATTGAAGATTAAGAGAAAGAAATTGAAAATTTAGGTGAGCTAACCAAAAAAATTAGATTAAATATAAAAGTTCAAATTTGTATGAGTTTATTGGTCATACTTTAATATATGAAACATACTTTAATATTACGGAAAAGCAAAGCGATGTTTTAATAAGAAACATTTAACAAGACAACTACAATTGCAATCACTTGCAGATAGTGAGATACTTCTACTCACTCTGTTCTGTGGTCTTTTTTGTGCTCTTTAAAAAATAAATGAGCAAAAATTTATCCTAAATTAGAAGTGAACTCAAATTTAATCTAAAAACTATTAATTGATAAACAATAAGTTAATTAGTTGATTTTGATAATAAGATAGAAAAATATCATATCAAGTGTTTTCCATATAGCATAAGAGAAAAGAAATATCATGTTGAACTTTAGGACCCTAAATTTTTTAGTAAGAAATTCTAAAAAGTTTTACAATAATACTATTTGTAAAATGGTATTTACCCTTACTCTTTTATCAAATCTGTTGGCCAACTTGACTATTAGGTTCCGACAGATACCTTTGAATAATATTATTTGAACCTAAAAGTTTGACATAATTTGTTGATATAATGATGTGGCTTCAAGAGAACATTGGATCAATACCAAGTTTCAATGTTTGATGGTCTCCATAGTCAATCCAAATATCATAGTGAATTAGGTTAATAAATTTGATCAATAAATTAAGTCTCAATAACATTGCTCGTTAACTTTTGATGGTTATCATTTATTAGACCCTAATATAAAACAGATTAAAAAAAAAAAGACTCACATGACTAATAAATTAACACTTGAGAATCTATCATTAACGTCATTCCGTGGTCCCCATCTTACATATTTCATGTCATTATATTCTGTTTTTTTTTTTTTTTTTAATTTTATTGTTAGGCTTAATTAACTCAAGTCAATTTAGCAAGTCATCCAATCATATTAACATAATAATAGGGTGGACACCCTCATCACCTACAGTGCAACTATGTAACATATTTTTATGCCAGCCTTAATTCCATGGATTTTTTTTATAAATAAAATGGTTTGGCCAAAAATAATAATGAAAAATCAGTTCAAGAAAGATATAAAATTAAAAGATTAAGAAGATCCAACTAATCTATATAATGTGACTGCTAGTAATTTGAATCACACAAGTTATAAAGTATAATAATAACAGTCAATAATGATCAAATTTTTATCTATTTTGATCCAATGGTACAAAATTCATCCCATAAAATTATTTTTTGCTCAAAAATATTATTTTCTATACACAGTTCCTAATCTCAGACAACATAACTTACACGCTCAACTCCATTAATTCACACTTACTTCTTTGCTCTCTCTCGCATCTCTCTCTTATTTTTGATATGTTTACTTCAATTTTAAATTTTATAATTAAAAATATAAACTATTATTAAAAATATAAATATCGTACGAGAAATATTTGATTATTTGGTATTATAAAGTGTCTTTAAACGCGAGATTATTTCTAATATCTAAATAAGTTGACTAATAAATAGCTTCATTCTCTATGTGTCCAAGGGTGAAATAGGGTAGACCTTTTAGAAGGTGAAGCTCACCCCATTGTAGTGGCATGATTAGAATCATATCATCTAGCAAACGAGCATGAATACTGAGACATCTTATTAAAAGCAAAATTAACATGGGATAATGGAATTGAATCTTGATCATACAATTTCTATTGCATAATTGTGATGGATCAAACTTCACTTTGAATATGTTATTCGGCTTAATAATCTGACCCAATATCAGTTTATTTGGTGCAGTATTATTCTTTATTTTTATGACTAGAATTATGACAATCTCACAAAAAGTTATCTTATCATTTCACTTACTTCTAAGTTCAAATAACTAGGGGAGGGGGAGAGAGAGAGAGAGAGAGAGAGAGAGAGAGAGAGCGAGCTTATCATAAACTTAACCCTCCTCACCTATAACCCAACCTTATTCACTGTCATGTGATGGAGCTTTACTTTGACTTCATCTATGCCTCGATGGTTTTTGCCTCAAGTACACACTCCTTTAGGACCACGGCTTTTAGAATAACCATTTATAATAAAATAATAAATGGATAGAATTCTTTTCATCCCTACAAGTAACCATGAACTTCCCATTAAACCCTTGGCCATTTTCTTCACAAACTTGAATATGGGAGACAAACCCCCAAACCCTTCTTACACACCACCATCACCTCCTTCAAGATCCAACTTACCCATGTTATACTACGGCCTCGTGGTCGTCGTAACGGCTTTCATCATTCTCGCAATCTACAACCTAATCATCATAAAATGGTGCACGGACCACCATCGTCGATCACGGCGGCGAGAGACTCGAACTCAGGACCTCCAGATAAGTCGGAGTTTTGACAACCCTAATAGAAACTTGGTGTCTAGCTTCAGGTACAGGAAAGAGGGGGTGACTCAGGGTGAAGGAAACGATTATGAATGCCCTGTTTGCTTATCGGTGTTTGAAGAAGATGAAGAAGTAAGGCAACTTCCAAGTTGCAAACACTATTTTCATGCTCAATGTATAGATATGTGGCTCTACTCTCACCGGGACTGCCCTCTTTGTCGTTCTCCGGTGCTTCAACGGCATGTAGTTACAATTCACCAGGAGGATGCTAGAGATGGATTGCTAGTTTCAGGCATCGTCTTTTAATTTTCATTTTCCTTTTTATTCCGCTTTGTTTTTAAATACTTACTGTGAATATATATGCAAAACGATGTTCTTGTAGATGATGTACTTGATCGGTGGGTGTTTTTGTCAAAAAATGGTTGGCAGTTAAACATAATACAGGCTCAAATCAATTGTCAATTCAAGAATACAACCGAGTGGGTAGTCTAGTACCGGACGAACTTTTCACGAATGTACGTTGGGGTTCGAGTTATGCTAACTTAGTTAAATTTATTTTTAAGAGAAATAATAAATCGGGCCAGGCCAGCCACCTCATGATTTCATAAGTGATCATCTATCAGGATAGTTTATAAACACTCTTTTTTACCTAACTCTTGTTTTATGTAAGAAAAAAATTATAAATTCAAGAATTATACAGTTATTGTAGACAACTAATAAATTTATCCATTTATTATGCATTTGCGGTTTTTGCCGTCTAGGCATCAAGTAATGATTTTACCTCGTTGGTGTCAAACATGAATATCTTTATTTTCGGAACAACAAATTCGGCAACCTAACATCGTATGAATATTTTTTAGTTTTTAAAATTTTAATTTAGTAGTGGACAAACTGCGAAAAAAAAACCAATTTGTTTTTCATTTAGCTTTTCTAAGATGTTGATCAAGTAAAATTCAACTTCTGTACCCAAATGTGTCACGAATTTAGTTGAAGAAAAGTGTTTTCTAATTCTGTAATTTTTAATGGGTTAATTGTAATTGTATTATGAAAGATCGTTCAAATCTCAATTTACACACTTAAAAATAAAAATTTGTATCAATGTGCACCCTCAATGATAAAAAATCTTAATTTGTACCTTCAAATATAAAAATTTGTATCAATGTGCACTTAAGATTAATCGCCGTCAGTTTGTTGCCTAAAATTAAATTGATAAATTATACCTAGATCCCCTCATGCTTGTCACTTAATTATTTTGACTCCTTCACATTTAGAATATTACTCATACATCTAATGACGTTTGTGCACGTTTCGTTGATATATGTTAATATAATCATTAAAAAATATGATTTTATCCTAATAAAAAATTATAATTTCATATTACCCTTTATTTTGTGAGTCTAATATACTCTAAAGTTTAAAATCAAACTTACCATTTAAATGTCTAATAGAATATAGATATTTATATAATATTTTTTTATATTCAATACAATATATCACTCAATGTGCAACCCTTTATTCTATTAGACATTCAAATTATAACGAAAAGGAGTTATGTATTATATGTGCACAAACGTTATGAGATGTAAGAATAATATTCTAAATGTGAGGGTTCCAAATGATTAAATGATAAATATGAAGGGATCTAGGTATAATTTATTAATTTAGTTTTAGGTACAGATTAATATAAATTTATATCTTTGAGAGTGCAAATTGAAATTTTTGAATTTTTAGAGGTGCACATTGATACAAATTCTTATCTTTAAAGGTATAAATTAAAAATTTTGATCTTTGAAGGTATAGATTGAGTTTCGAGAACAATCTTTCAGAGTGTAATTTATAATTAACCCATTTTTAACTCATGATTTTGTATACGAAATTAATATGAATACGAAACAATCATTATCCACACACAAATAATAAAACTTAAATACAATATAAATTCAAAATTATACAATGTAAACCTAACAAAGGGACGACTAGACAAAGGATGGCGATTTAAAACAATGCCTAGAATCAAGTTTAATTATAAATAATAATAATTACGGGGAAGTTTAGGTTTGCATTGGGAGAAGATTAATTTTATAAGTCAACCAAGTCGGCCTAGGTAATGAAAGAGGCGGTAAAATAGTGGGCGGCTTCATAGTTATCCTTGGTCCTTTTCTCATGTATATTTGTCCATTTTCAATTTAGATCAAACCATGTGATTGTCTTTATCTTACTAGTCGGACCCACTCACCGGAACAAGAGATGCTTCACTTAAAAAAAAAAAAATTGTCATTAGTTGCAAGTGTGGGTTTTACTGTAGGGAAAACTCCCAGTTTGCCCTCGAAAGATATTGATTTTTTCGCTTTATCTCATGAATGATTAATTGTTCCATATTTCCCTCTGAAAGACAGTAAAAAATTGCAATGTAGTCAATCGTCATTTTTTCGTTTGTCGTCCGTTTGACTTTGTTATCACGTGCTTTGCACGTGATAACAGGGAGGGGCTATATTGTAAAATTTTTTTCTGTGCAAACCCATGTCTTCTTCTACCTAAGTGATTGGGGGAATGTACAAAGAAAGAGAGAGAGAGAGAGAGAGAGAGAAAAAAGCATCCAAACCCATTCTTGTTTCTCCGGCAAAACACAATGATTTGAATCTTGATTAGAGAGAGACGATGAAGATTACTTCGTTTTGGAGTCATTATTATGATCTAAATCTGGAAGTCTATAATCTTCAAGAAAAGATTTAAACTCCTCCTCCAAGTATGACATTGCGCTTTAGAATTCCACCAATGTAGTTGATCGATGAACCGTACTTTGATTCTAACGAGAATACACAAAGTGATGTTGATAACTTGAAGATTCGATTCACAGCTTCAAGAAATGTTGTCAAGTCCTCCTCTGTGATTTGACTCCATTTCAATGGGGTATTAGTTGAATCATAGTTTGCGATCTTTTTTTCGACAAGAAGAACAAATTGTTCTGCGAATTCTGGAATCTCTGGGAGTTCGGATTCATCACTTTTTAAGCTCGACAAAATAGAGGTGAATTGATCGATCTCTACAGAGACTTGAGAGAAATTGGGAGTCTCAAGAGAAGAAGAGTCTTCAATCTCTGTATTGATTTGGTCTTCTTCCTCTTTGTTCTCTGTCTCGACATTGTCTGGTTGGGCTTCTTCAACCTCCATGGATGTTTTAGACAGTGGGGGATCGGTGGTGTTATGGTCTTTATCTTGGTCTATGTCAAGATCGTGATGGTCAGGCTGGTTGTTGTTAAAGCTTGGGGATTTCTCAAGAAGAGGCTTCTCCGTATTGGACTCCATGGAAGCCTATGGGGTAATGGGTTTGGATGCTTCTCTCTCTCTGTACATTCCCCCAATCACTTAAGTAAAAGAAGACATGAGTTTGCACAAAAAAGGATTTTACAATATAGCCCCTCTTGTTATCACGTGCAAATCACGTGATAACAAAATCAAACGGACGACAAACGGAAAAATGACGATTGACTACATTGCAACCTTTTAATGTCTTTCAAGGGGCAAAGTGAAAAAATTGGTATCTTTCAAGAGACAAACTGTAAAGGGGTTCAATAATTTTGACTAGAATCATTTATAATTTTTTTTGGGTATTTATACTACTTTTTAAGTAGATTTTACTAATTTTTAAAGTGCACTTGTTTTTGTTTTCACTTACCATTTTTTTGAGTGAAGCTCATCACATTTTGAGTAAAATTTACCACCTTTTAGATTATTTTTTTTAACTTTTGATATAATATCGAAAAATTAAAAAATGATACCTTGGTGTTTTGTGATTAAAAGAGGTGGTTCCATCATCACTATAGATACTTCAAGTTTTGCAAGTAGCATGCCTCATTTTTTGGGGGTAAAAAAAAAGATAGCGGAAAAAGGAAGACTGTTAATCAAGAATTGACGTCTCATGACGATCCTGTCTACAGTTGCTACTATACTCTTACATCCGAATAGAGTGATCCGTACTTTGGAAATAATTGCAATGTGACTATTGTCTGGGGAAGACAATATGCTAAGCTTATATCGTTCAGCAGTTAAGTTTTGGTAAATGTCGTTGCGTATTGTTTGAAATTCAGACTCGTAGTAAGAGTAACAGAGCAAAAGAGAAATGTTACACAAACCTTAATTTTTATCAAATTTTTTTTACATCAAATCAAATCTTAGATTGACGAGTCTCAAGATTGCCACTAAACTTTTAATGAATAAGATTGTCTCAAATCATTTCATAAAAAAAATCATCTATATAATAAAGTACAATACAATTTAAATCTCAAAAAACAAATAAAATGATTTTTACTTGTCGCGTTTGAGATATCTTTAATTTTAATTTAAAGTTAATTCGATAACTAATATTAGCACCACAAATATAATAAAAAAATAAGGCCTCTAAAGGTGTGTTTTGGGTAACTTTTTAAAAGTACTTCTAATATTTATAACTTCTCATAAATACTTTTAAAAAAATACTATTTGGGATTGCCCCACCACCACCACCGCCGCCACCAACCCCCACCACCATCGCCACCCATCACTGAATGCTACCACCGTCGCCTACCACCCACAACAATTGTCATCTCATTCTCTTATTTATTACTACTACCACTATCATCACACTACAACAGTCGCCCACCGTCAGTATCCACCACCACCATTGTTGCACACCACCACCCACTGCCACCCATCACCACCTGTCGTCGCCCAGCATTGCTGCTAGCTACTGTCAACCACCACCACTACACTTACCATCATCACCCATCATTGCCCACCACTACTGTCACCCACTCTCACCACACCTATCACTACCGCCATTCATAATCATTTCTGCCACCCACTGTCGTCGACGCCACCCCCACTACCACTTGCACCATCCCCACTACCACCACCCTTACCACGACGATCACCACCATTACCCCTACCGCCCTACCTCCACCCCACGATTATCACCACTACCACCACCACTATCACCCCACTACGACTGCCATCCACCAACAATTCTTTTAAATTGGCATACGCAAAAGGTACAATACAGTCAATTGATACTAATAAATATACATTGGAATCTACACTTCTTCTTTTTTGTGGAATACAACATTTAAAACAAACAAGACATGGGAGAGTTGTATGTCGGTTATACATACCAATATTATAAGGGCGAAGGGCTGTAGTAGCCGCCCTCAATTTTTTTCCTTAATTTTATATATATATTATAGTTATTTTTTAAAATATTATTTGTTGTGCCCACCTTAAAATTTGTCTTGATTTTAAGAATTTTGGTTTTAAATTTAAAATTTTAAGATG